CTCCCTCCCTGTCTCCCTCCCTGTCTCCCCCTTTCTATCCTCCTATCTGCCCTCCCTCCACTGCCTTTTTCCCCCTCCTCTCCTATTCTCTTCATTTATCTCATCTCCACTTCAAAATTTTTCTCCATTCTCTTTTTCTCTTTCCCTCTCTCATCTCTCCTTACCCCCCTCTCTCTCTCTCTTTCTCCAATTCTCTCTCTTTTTCCCTGTAACCATTTTCCTCCTCTTAATACCTAAGATAAGCCAATATACAAGAATTCTGACTAATTAAAAGATTTTAACAAGATATAAATTGTTTTTGTTGCCTATTCTTAATTGTGTTTTATGTGATCTCCAAAATTTTAAATGAAATATGATTTATGTAACCTTGTCAGAACATTATGAGAGACACATTTTAAAGAAAGAATTTGAGCAAATTTTATACATTTTAAACACATTAATTTCCTGTGGGATTTCTAACTGAAAGCTCTCACAATAAATATACAAATAAAGGTGAAGTAAATTCACTTGCATCTTCATTAATTCTTTTTGTGAGAAAGAAATATCGGAAATAATAGGTCCATAAACGTAAGAAAATAGTATACACCTTTGTCAAATTGTTCGTTTAGTAAGGAAATACTTGTGTTGATTTAATATTCATGTTAAGACCCTTGAATATTGTTTTCTGTATATTCCTTTTTTGGGTTATCTAATAGTCTTCTTTCTCATGTAGTACAAGTAAATTTGGGCTTAATGAATTTTTAAAATGTCAAAAATGGAACCTCAGTAGTAAGATCAAATCGGTCTTAATCTATGGGTATTTATTTAAATTTTATATTTGCCTCATATTGGGTTTGCCTTAAGGTCATCTGGGTATTAATTCCAAAATATATTTGTAATTTTTATTGTTCATGCTGTCTACTTTTTCAAATACAAAAAGGACTCATCATTTTCACCAAGAAATTTGTGTTGTGCATCAATGATCCATTCATACAATGTGGATTCTCAAGCAATTTAAATACTATACTAATGGAAAAACAAATGTATGATGCTATTACAGCTATACCAACCAGCCATGTTGTTTGTTTGATTGTTTTGTAATAATTCAACAAAAAAATGTATATTTTTAATTGACAATAATTTTTTAAATAAGTATTAAAAGTCTGTTGTCAGAACTCATAAATACATGCAAACCATAACAACATTTAAGTTAGAAAATGAAAACAAGAGTTGCTAATTAAACAGTTTACCCTCCTTAATTTATTTACAATGAGCCGATCTGGTGGCCGAGATCGCTAAGGCAGTAGTGTCGTAACGATCTCGTACCGGGTTCGAGTCCTGCCTCGGGCATGGTTGTATTGTGTTCGTCCTTTCACCCTCTATCATCCATCATCCTCCATCTCTCATTATCACCTTTCTGAATAACATTCAGAATTGTAACTCGAGGATTTATCCTCACCTCAAGGTGATACCTTCGACAGTCGACCATGAACAGTAAAAAGTGAAGTGGAATGACTCAAGTGGTCCAATGTGGCCAATCAAGTTAATAATAATAATAATTTACAATGAAACATATGAACTTATCTTTTGTTACTATTCTTGGTCTGTACTTGGCCTTCATACAAAATTTTGAATTGAAACAAATTGGTGTTGAGGATCCATGTTTTACCAATTTCAGTACAAAATTACCCCTAAGATTTGATATACCTCAGTAGAGATCCCAATGTGATATTTTTATTTGTGTAGGTGTGTGCCCTCTTGGAGCTTCCAGCAGCATTGCATCTGGGCTTGATGGAGAATCTATTGTCAGTGGATCGCCTCCAGGCAGTCCTTGGCTGTTGCCAGTGCCTTCACAAACTAGTCTCCCAGCCTTTAGTCGGCAACACAGCCAGTTGTCTGGTTATGCATCCGGAGAGTGTGGTCCAACTTCTCCATTGGTAAATTACTGCAGTATACATTTGTACAATTATTATCCCTAACATTCATTTCTTGCACCTAGTGTAGCGTAAATTCTAGACATTATTCATGAATTACTTATTTTTCAAAATAGTGTGCAGTAATTATATATTTTAATAAAATCTTACCTACCAAACAACACAAATATTTGACATTACTCGAGTACCTTTCCTTGTGATACAGTAAAGATAATTAAAATGGTTTTCAAATTCAAGAAAGATAATTAAAGAATTTCTGAGCCAGAGCCATTCTCAAATGCATCTAATGAATCATATTCATTTAATGAGTATTACAAATATTTAAGCATATTAATTTTCAACCAACATGTTATTATCTCAAAACATCTGTGTAGGCTGGCAGTGGAGTTTGCAGTTGGAATGTCACCCGTCCTCCTGGGGAGCCAACCCATGGAGCTGGATCACCCGATCTAGGCATTGAGAGTGATGCAGGCCGCTTCTCTAGCCTTGAGCCTCTGTCGTCACACTGCGGGAGCTGCGACCGGGAAGGCACTCGGGGTCTGTGTGGCTTTCAAGGCAAGTAATCAAGTAGGTGCTACTGCTCATACCTAGGCACGGTGTGTAAAATTGTTTCAGCATTTTTTTCTTGTAGGCTAGATATTCCTTGTTTACAACTTGAAAGACGTGTTGGTAGAATGGCCAGATAGTTTATTATATTGTATCTCTAGCTTACTCTCCTGAAACAATCCTGACCTTCATCTACTTACCTCATATAAATAATTAATTTTTGTTTTGTCATTTTAAATCATATCTTCACTGCATTGATACTGATATTATTTACTAATACTGAATGTGTGTGTTTATACAAAGATAGATCTTAAATTAAAAAGGATTCACTTTGCAAACTAACTAGGTAACATGCTATAAACTGCAAACTAACTAGGTAACATGTGCTATGAACTAAATACTGTTTTTAATACAGAGTGCACATGATAACATGTGTGGTGTTTATTTTTCTTATAGCATGTGGAACATTCAAGTGCAAGAAATGCTGAAATGCAAGCTATATTTCACAAGCACACAGAAACAAGTAATATTTCTAAAAGAAGTATAAACATGTATTCTGCAAAAATACATAGTCTAAAGAACGTCATGTCTGTTTTTAAAACTATTTAACTAGTAAAGATAAATTTCTCTTTCCTGTATTTTCCTCACATTACCAGTAAGTTAATTATGATTAATATTTTGATTTCTCATTTGTTCTGATCAGTGAAGAACCTACTTTAATATGATGTAAATTTATATAATTTAATTTACTTATGATTTGAATTTTAAAATCTGGTCATTTTATCTGTGGAAAATTTGTTAAACTACTGCTAGAATGTATAATGATCACAAGGTAAAAACATTTATTTGTGTTATGCAGATATATGATAAAAAGAAATTATAGCAATAATACAGTTGTCTAGCTTGCCTATCCTCTGGAACAGAGTGTTATTTGAAAAAGTATTGATAGAAGTACTTTTTAAAAAATTTCCATTTCACTACATAATTATGTTTAACTATTGTCAGTCATGAATTGTGTTCTAAGGATTCACATTACTCCAGAGAAGCAGGATAATGATCACAGCATTTCTCCACTGTAGATGTCTTGAAACTCCCCAAAAACATGTTTTTTTCTAGAAGGCTTCCAGAATATTCTGTAAAGATTGGCTAAAAATTGTACAAATCGTTTTTTCTTGCCCAGAGCAATTCATCACCTCCTTGCAGCACAATTGAAAACTCTCCAGAATGTTTTTTTAGCTTCTTAACACACACACATACATACATGTCTTTTGATAATTTTCTTAGTATGTTCTCAAAGGATCCAGAAGAGAAACTGGTTAGTTCCTGACCAATTACCCGTGACATGTCAATGTGGAGACAAACACATTTTATCCAGAACTATATGTTGGTTAAATATATATATTCACGCTCATATTTTTTTCTGATGTAAAATTTCCAAGTTCTGTTTTGTAAATGCAAAATCATGAGAGAAAATCACAAATCTAGTACATTTGGAAGAAAGTCCATCAAGACCTGCTATTTTGATGGTGAAGACATGGGATCAATCATATGGATGTCTCCATGTTCAGAAAATATTTTGTCTTAATTATATCTTGTTCTATTTTGTTTTTGTTTTTTATCGGCATCAGGAAGGTATTGAGACTACTTATTTGTATTCTCATTACTTCTTTGTAACAGAGTTTTTTATATATTTTAATGAATGTCCCTTCATAATTATAGTTTTCTCTGTTTTAAACAAGTATCTATCAAGGCTAATGTTCAAGACAATTCACAATTACTATTTGATATTTGCAAGATCTTTTATTCACACAAGTCAGCAATACTAGATTATGGAAAATATGATAATTTTCATAATGAAAAACATGCTGAAACAAAAGTTGGCCTAATGTATGAGATAAAAATGAAAGTATCTATAGACTGCAATATTGTACTGAGATTATTTGTATATTTATAACTGACAGTATGGGGTTTTAAACTAAAGAATACAGTTTACTCTCCTCTATAATTCTCTAACCATTGTCTTCCCATCTACAAGATCCTGTCAGTTGTCCTAACTTCTTACTAAAAACCACAACTAGCTTGTACCATGATTGTTATTCCTCAAATCTTTAAAGAAATGCAGGTGGAAGGAATCAGTTATATATGTTAAACTCTAAGAGGTACGTATTCAAAGTAATCATTGAAAATTTGCCAAAATATCTTATCTTTATTTTTTTAAATTTCAGATGTTAGTACATACTATCAGATTCTGCGAAACTTTCACCATCTTAATTTGTTGGTTCTAAGAGTGAATTATGTAATCATCTGTCTGCTTTATCTTTTTTGTAGGCACTGACGGGGAGTCAGAATATGCAAGGTTGCAGAAAGAGAATAGTAATTTGAAGAGGAATCTCAGTAGGACTAAGAAGTTGCTTGAGGCTACTGTCACTCAACTATCATCATCAAATCAACTGAAGCGGCAGATGGAACTTGCCATTTGTAAACAATTGAACAAAACCCAGAATGTTTTAAAACAAGCCAAAGGTGAATGTGAAGTGTCTGTTGAACCTGTAAAATAATATACTGAAACTTACACCTAATATAACATTCTAAGAATGTTAGTGTGGTGTGCAGTAATGGGTTATAACAAAATGATAAATGATAACTTTGAAACCAATGGTTTATTTTCAAAAATGAATTTAAAGTCCATGACCATAATTTGTGAGAAGATACAGAATTTATATTTCAGACAAAATAGTATTTATCAACCTTACAATGTGTGCTTTCTTCAGATAACGTGTAGTTTTAGTGTGCAGATTGTATGAGTCATATTTTCAGGTAAGTTACTGCAATTTTTTGTTCAGTACCTTACCAGAACAAGTTAAAATTGTAATAACCATATTGTTGTAGAAGTGTAAATATGTGATATTATTTTCTTTATTAAAAGAAAAAAATAATGAGAACGAGTTTATTTGTATAATAATTTTTTTTACTGTATGTGGTATCCTCATGTGTTAGATGAATACATATCCCTTACAGATACTTCATGACTTCTTACTAAAAACAAGAAGGAAGACATTGCATAAAATGTTAAGTGGATAAAACTGTAGTTAAAATAATCTTGATTTCAAAGTTGTGAAGCCCCTAACTTACTCTGGAAAAAATCAAGGGGCATTGAAATTCTCAAAGGTATGACATTTCATTAGTAGTTGGTGGTGGAATATAAATAGTCAGCAATGTCATTTTCTTATACGAATTTTGCAAGCAGTAAATTCTAATGAAATTTGAACAGTAAATGCTATTTGGTACAAATTTAAAACACAACTACAAAACTTATTTCTAGTGAATAATTTCTAAGAATTAATTTGTATATTTTATTTTGTTCATATATCCCAGTTAACTAACTAAATGAACATGGGATTCTTTTAAAGATTATGTTGTCATTTAAAAACCGTTAAATGATTAATGAAAGATAAGCTTATTTGTATTTCAACATTCCTCCTACATTGACAATAGTATCACATTTTTCTTCTTCAATTCTTTATTGGTAGAAAAGAAGGCCCAATTTTCAGAAGTGTGATTTGAATGATCAACAAGGAAGAATGAGAATTGCCAACAAGCATTCTGGTTTCCCTGACATCACTTTTATCAGAGATGGATGGGCTTCTTAAGCCCTCTACAGTAGTAGGTTTCAATATTATTTCCATCATTGTGTTTACATTACCTGGTTCACTATGATTATAAATCAGTAGTTTATTAATATTGATGGAAAAAGTTCATCATTCTATTTCGTTTTTTCAAAACAGTTTATTTACTACAGGCAATAAGAGCATGAATTACACAATAGATTTGTGCACTCGTGCAGATGATATAAGTTGCTAATGGATTTACGATTCAACTAAGAACTCATAATGTAAAAGCATTCATGATATTTATTCTAATCGTCAATTTAAAACGCAGGCTGTTAGACCTATCACCTGTTTCTGTTTGAACAGTAGACCTGATGGTTTACATCTAAAGGCGTTTGTGTTTTCTCCATTTTTATTTCCAATGGCTCCTTGCCCTGAGGGTTTGTAATTTAATGCTAGTTTTGGAAGTCTTTTATTCTTCATTTTTTAAATGTATCCTAACCATTTCTTCTATTTGTGTTCCTTTGTCGTTCCAATCATCGTACTCCTGATATACATTGGAGGAATCATTTGTGCTGTTTTCAGTGTTTGATGATTTCTTCTTATTAGAGTTCAAGTTTAATTAATATAATTTTTGTTTTATTATAATGTTAATATTAAAACATGGTTCTTTAAGAAGTAATCAGTATTTAGCTCTGTTAAATTTATTTCTGTTGTATAGAAGAAACTTGTATATTGTGCCCATTTATAGGCTTTTGCTACATAAAACATTAAAATATGTACAAGCTAAATAAGAGAGCTTAGGGCCCTCTAAAAATGAAAATCCAAAACTCACATTCATCAATTGTTTTGCTACATTTTTTAAGAATAGAGTCCTCTCCCTGTTACCAATCTCAGAAATTACAATAAATATTTTTCTTATGCTCTTGATTACTAATTGCTCAGCAGATTCCTTCATTCACTCTATTAAAAATAATAAAAATTCTCATTAGGGCTAAAATGCTTCAGCAGAGAAAGAGAAGCGTTAGTTATTTTTTGTTCATAGAACCTTTTACTTTGTTCCAAAGACATTTTAATAACGAAAGAAAACGTTTAGTGCCAAAAAATGTAGATGAAAATTATTTAAGAAATAGCATTGCATATTTTGATTACATTTTTTGTTTGTTTTTCTAATATTGTTCAAATTAGGTTGATATTGTATTTACTTTAGTATGGTTATTTTCTTGTCCACTTTGACTACATTTTCAATATTTCAATACTATAAACCCTCCATGCTTGAGTGTGGTCTCTTAAATTTTAAATGTCCTTATTAAAATTATTTCCAGGCCTATAATCACCAGATTTTAATGATCTAAATAAATTCCTAGCATGATGGACCCTTCCAGCCAATAGAAACTTTAACAAAAACTATTTTTCTTACGGGAATGTTATATAGTGTTCTTTATTTAATTTGTTTTGAGCGCCACTATGAATTTTGAAAATAACTGATACAATCAACAGGCAGACATAATTTTGATGCTAATTTTCCTCTTTTTTTTCTTTTTTGTCGTATATGCAATTCTTGTAAACAAAATAAGCAAGTTAGATTATTATTACTAGGATGTATTATAATCCAGAAGTTGAAAACGCAGAAAGTTGGAATATCTAGGGATGTTGATGAAGCAAAAGAAAGGAAATTAACATGAAAATATGGAAATGAAAAAATATATATACAGAGTGATGAAGACAGAGTGAAGTCTTCCTTGCTCATACAGTACACTGAGCTATTAATGTGTACAAAAAGGAAATGGTATGGACCCTATTCAAAATTTTGGATAAATTAAGGTTTTTGTCATTGGCCATTTTTTGAACAAAGGTATACGAAATATTACATAAAATGTTCCCTGTTGTTATTATTACCTATGTATCTAATGAATATGAAAGGAGAGAAAAAAACTATCCTTTAAGTGTTATTTAGGACACTGGTCTACCGCTAAAATTAAACATTTTCAAAATTATCTCTTTAGTGAACGCAAGATAAGCATCTGCGCCGTACGGCCTCCGCGCACAACTCAGCCTGGTTGACCCTTAATTTCCGCTGCCACGCTTTCAGTACGCTGAAAAACGCCATCACAATCCACGACTTCGAAAGCATAAACGCGGACGTTCATTAATCCCGAGAAAAAAGGGCAGCTGATTCAAATCCGGAGACCGAGGCGACCATGCTACTGGGCCTCGCCCGATTCACATATCTTGAAATTGCATATCTAGGTAGTCCCGAACTCCACATTAATTATGTGGGGCCACATCTGTGCCCGTGGGACGACCTCCACAAGCGTCGGGCGTACCCGAGTTATAAAATTCAGATACTGAACGCCTCTCAAACACGTAAGAAGGTAAACGGTAAGAAGTGAGGACCGATGATAAATTCACCCACAATGCCAACCCACACAATTACAGAGAATCACCCTTGGTGAGCTACGCTACGTGCAACAATGTGGATTTTCCTCGGCCCACACATGCAGATTACGCACATTATCGTTCCAGTTCTTTTAAAACACTTCTCATCTGCCAAAGAATGCTTTGAGAAATTCCTGGTCCCTCCTTGCATTGCGCAGGAAATGCCTTGAGAATTCAGAACGACGTTGTAAATCGGTAATACGCAAATGCTACACCCACTGGAAATGGAAAGGTTGTAATCTCTTCTCATGAATTGATCGCCAGGTGAGATACTAACCTAGTGCACTCCTTGCCTTGCGCTCGCTTCCGGGGCTTGGCGGAGAGTATTATAACAGAGTCGTCCAGAGAAGTGGCGAGCCTTAACTTACTTGCCGTAGCCCGCGTTACACGAGCACAAGCACATAGTCCAAAGTTTAACGTTAATTATTTACAAAATTAAACGACGAAGAGTATCTAATTTTGGCAGATTCAGTCTGCACATTACATTTGGGTATGGCTTCGGCGTATTAGCAACGAAGACTGAATCACTGTAAAGAAAACAATGTCAGGTTAGTTACAGCATTTATGACTTAAGAACAGCTGGACTAATTTTAATGATCTCTGATTCGTTGGATTCATCTCCGTCCTGAATAGCAGGATAACTATTAAAATATCGGGAAAATACACAAGATGGTGCTGTAGAATGAAACTAAATATTCATGTCAAATGCACCCGCAACGCACAGTTGTTTTTAATCTATATCGTTAAATAACTCGTAAACAAATCTTTCTAAGACATTAAAAACTAAAATTTTGAGGCGAAAGGTCTCAACAAAACGTTCTCACACCATAATCTACTGGATTAAATCTTTTTGAACATTCTATTAGGTTTTTTGTTGGGAGGGTGGGAGAAGCCGAGAGAGAAAAGGAAATGAAGGACAGAACAACATCTACAGTGTTCCTCTTAATAAATTCATAAAACTATCAAATAAGGTAATGGCGAAAAATGGTTGTATAATCACTCAAATGATCCTGAGGTCATGGTCAAGTGCTGGGTAGGTCAGTAATGTATAAAGTATAAGTGGCATTAGCATGTTGGAATCTGTTTCCTGTAAAACGAAAATTTGTTTATGTTTGGAGTCATTGGAAACGTTTTTCCTTTTGCATTATTGTGGCTCATCTCATCCCTATGTATTTTTTTACTGTTGATAAAATACATTCATTGTAACATGTATAAGTGATGGTACTGTTATTCAATTAGTGGGTATTTCTCATTTCAATTTGCTTTGGTATTCTGATTTATTAAAGCTGAATTAAATCCCCAATTTCTAAACTTGACAGTTTTCTTACCATCATTAGCTCTAATCTGAATTACATGCTGTTAAAAAACTAAATATAGCATGTCCATTTTTTTTATTCGTTATTTCATTTCTGATGAACATCATGAAAGTATATCTTAAAAATAAACATATGTCTCAAGTTTGTTTATATTTCTCAATCAGCTGTCTTTAAAGAAAAAAAATCAATTCTCTAACATCTTGTAAGTAAACTATTCTGTTCACCTTATGATATTTCATCTTCTTACTCCTTTTTTTAAATTTATTTTGTTTAGTGATAAAACTCTCCTTATAGATCCTGCTAAGAGGCTTCTAGAAAACGTGTGTTCCTGGAGAGTGAGGATGGCTAGGAACCATTGATTACATTTAGGGTCACTGTGCATTTCCCTCCAGATCCCACCATTATTCTAATATGAGGTGCAGTAAAGGAGATTCATGCTTTGAATACAAACAGCACCAAGATTTATGGAACAAGATGCCAAAAAGTGCTGATAGAGGCCAAAAGGCTGCAAGTACAAGTGTATAAAAAAAATAACATTTGTACATTCTGCAAATTTTTATAAGACACAGTTTTGGTGCATGAACAGTGTATATATTAATATAGGCAATTTCGTTTATCACAAAGAAGCCTGGAGTAACAGAGCCCTTAAGTATTAAGCTTCAACTAATGATGATGAAACCTTCTATAAAAGGACCTTGATGAAACACACAGTTTTACATTAATGCTAAAACAGAGTAATCCAACCTTTAATACTGCCAAAACATGGATATGTAACAAACTATCATTTAAGAATTTCGAAAATCAACATGAAAATATCTCTATAAAAGCATGTGAAAATGAAATTGACCTTTAAGTTATTCAATGATTCTTTTTAGTCAAATGAGGAAACAATGTAAGCCTTTATCAATACTCTTGTATTTGTTCAATTCTATTGCATTTATTCAAGTTGTAATAAATACAATTTTCAATATAACACACACAGAAAATACTGCTTTAATAATGCCTCTGTATAGGCTTGAAAGAACATTTATTGAATATATAACTTCCATTAAATAAATTTGTTAAATATGGAAAAGAAAAGATAGAAAAAATATAACAGATGATAAAAGTGTAAATTAAAACCAAAAAAACAACTATTGTGGATAAGAAAAGAAACTATTTTCTTACAGAGAAAGGGAATCTACTTTATTATTGAACTTATTATCCAAATTTATTAAAAAAGTTCTCAATAAAGAGATTTTCAACTTTTTTACAGTTATATTAACGCATTGAACATTTTAATTCCCACCACATTGTGCCCCCTCAGTTTTAAATCCTTGTTGATTCATGGCAGTAAGACCTTAAGCATTCTCTTTATGTTCCTGTTACATAAATATTAATCTTGAAGCCAAGCGTAATTATACAATAACATTATTTCAATAAAATAACATTTTATATGTGTCACATTATTTTCTCTATACAAAAACTGTTGAGTGTAATACACATTTTTTAAAAACAATTTTGATAATATTTTTTTGTATGTAATTTTGCAATACTAATATCGAATCATAAACTCCAAACTAAGTTAATATAACATAAGTTACAACTCACCAGAATAAAGATTAGTATATCATCAATGGTTCTTTAGTTCGAAGAATCGATCTGTTTCCTGGAAACATAAGATATCTACTATTCTGTGACAATTGCTACACACAGTATTTTCATTTCAAATTATAGTCAATATGTAGTCCTAAACATTTACAAACTTCAACTCTCCATATATATATGTGGACAATCATAGTCATTATCACAGCTTGATTTATAAAGCTTAATATAACATGCTCTGGTGGCATACTGCTTGGAAACTACTGAATGTTATAGTCTTTCCTATAGTTAAGCTCAGAAAATTACAACTTAGCCATTTTATCAAAGATAACTTAATTTCAAATTCCCTTAGTGGTATCCTCCCAGGATTCACCCATAATAATTATACTCATGTCACTGCCAAAAGAAATCGAATCTTTAGACAAAATTTTTAAAGTGTCATTTATATGTAATGTAAATAAAAGTAGACCCAGAATTGTAGCCTGAGGCATACCACAATCAACTGTCGACGACATGCGCTGGTTATTCTCACATATTACATTCTATTCAATAAATATTAATTTGTAAACAATCCCTCTGAATCCCTAAGATGACAGCTTATTTAAAAATTTATTATGTCAAAAGCCTGAACTAAGTCTAAAAAGATAGATATATTTAGGATATTTTTCTTTATTAATTTACTAATTTCATCCGTAAAATAAACAAGAGCACTTTTCGCATCACTAGTACTTTTCCATTCTTTAAATTTAAACTGGTAAGAATTAGCGATGTTGTATTTCTCTGTCTGTAAAAATGTATTACATACAGTATAAATCTTAGCTCTGTCTGTAAAACTATGAATTCAGTTTTTCAAAATTTTCTCCAAAATTTTTGTAAAATCTGAAATTTAGGAGGTCAGTCTATAATTTGTTGCATTATCTTCACCATTTTTTACACAGGTATCTCTTCAAGTTTTTTAAAATGATTAGGAAAATTTCCAGTTTCCAAAGTGAAGTTAAATATATAAGTTAGTGGTTTATGAATATTTTGTAGTACATAAAAATAAGGAATCCACAATTACATCATTTTAATACTGAGAACATGCAATCTTTATTTTATGAAATTTTTGGTCATATTTCTACACACACAACAACATTCAAATAAGTAGCTATTTCAACTTTAATATGCATTTAAATTTGTTCAGAGAATATTTTTAATGGATTTTACAATTGTTTTATTTGTTCTCAAACTAATATTTCTAAAATCCTGTAGATTTAATATTCCCTCTGCAAATCAATAACAATTCATTGTAGTAATTTTCTGTAGCTAATTTTAACGTACATCCTAACTTGTTATTATGTTTTGTATTTTTCTCTAATTACACTATTTAATGGATTAACATTCATTTTTTAAATAAGTAATTTTTAGTTTTCCATGACCCTCTCCCTAGGTTTATTTCTATATTTCTCTCTAATGGTTTTCTTAAATTTTTCCAGTATACATTTTATCCTGAAAATAAAGTTGTGTATGATAGCGTCTGTAGATGTATCTTTGTAAATTAAATTCCAATTCACTTTGTTAATAATGCCTAACAGTTTACCAGTTAATTACTCTGTTACTATCTTTTGTTTTACTAATATTAGATTTGTCTAATGTATTTACTGATTCAATATTGATTAATGTCGCGTAACAATAAGTCAAATCAAGTATATACTCAGCAGATCTACCTTTAATACAACAACCACCAATTTTGCCAAATATATGTGCAATAGATGATGAATTGTCAGTTACTAGTGTAGATGTATTTGTATAAGACTTACAAAATTTCCCTGGGAATAATTTTCCACTTCTGTTTCTGTAACCATACTGCTTAGAAACAACCTGATCTTGAATCGTCAAGAATAACGAAATCCTGTATGTTTTTGCAATAATTGTATTTACTGTTCTTATTAGTGTAATACAATAGACTTATCTAACTCAATAATTGTGAAAAAAGAAATTTTCTCCAAATTATTCACTTTTGGAATGGGAAGTTAAAGAAATACTTGGAGCAACAGACCAATGTGTATTAATTACACAATTCAGTTTGAAGAAAATGTTTAACATATGTTAAACTCTTTGAATTCAAAGATATGCTGAATCAAAGAATATTAAGTTCATTAAATAATGAATTATAATTGGGAATATAATTATAAAATCAGAAAATGTTACTGATAGGATCAGTAGACCTCTTCCAAATGTATTATTTTGACTTAACACATTTTAATGTGATGCTTCACAATTTATTAGCCTAAGTTAAAAGATGTTAATGTTAAAACATTTCCTATAATTCTAAACCTGAAAATAATAATTCAGGTTAAATATTGATATTTAATTGACCAATAGTTCAACTGTTGCAGTATTTGTAGCAAGGAAAAGTTACAACTACAATAAATGTAACAAATGTTAGTTTTTGTGATACATTTGGCCATCATCAGAAGTCACTAAGCTCTTTTCAAGAAATAAATCACACTACAGAAGGTCAGCAAGGTTTCTTTCTGGCAGGTTTTTGGATGTCTCAATGTTTTTGTGACACAGTAGACATCACTGTTGTTGTACTGCATACTCTTTTTTACTTCTAGTGTCTTTATATCCAAGTCATGATGCAATCGGTCCATTTGCATATAAGTAAGTGAATCAACCATATTGCACAGTATCTTGTTCTGAATTGTTTGCACATGAACACTCCTGGCACAATCCCAATGCCGATTCCATACGTCCATATTGGTTTTAAATCTCATTGGTAAAGTAGTAATTTATTATAGACGGATAACTGAGATTCTCTTCCCAATAACCAGTACATTTTAGTGCTTTTCAAATAGAGTTCTGCTTTCTTTATTTCAGTGTGCTCCTTCCAGCGCAGCTTTGAATCCTTAGTCAAACCCAAATACTTCACTATATTTCCTAGTGGAACGATTTGGTCGTCGATCCTTATCGGGAGTGCCTTACTTTTACGAATGGAAAAATTTACGTGATGTGACTTAGTCTTCGGTAATTTATTAGTTGCTTCTTCCATATTTCTTTTAGTGGATAACAAAGTGAAGTCGCGTGCAAACATTGTTATTCTTGTGCCTCTATAACCGGGTATATAATTTAATATATAAGCAAATAGGGGATGGGCCCCAGTAAGCTTCTTTGAAGGACAACTGCTTAAATTTCACCGAATGTGTTTTAGGCATTTTCTTGCGTGAGCATATTTTTTCTTCTATCTTTTTCTTTTGGCGTCTGCAAATGGTATAGTTGATCAATAGTTGAAACGAATACCCAAATTGATAAAGGGATTAGTCTTCTTTCTTTTATAATTATTTTAAGTCACTAAACTGACTAAATATTAAAATTTAACTTTGAGATTGTCTGAAGTCAAACTTAATGAAATCGAGACCAGAGTCATGAAACACTGAAGTGTTCAAATGATTAACTATTAAAATCACTCACCTTTTGCAGGATGTATAGTCAGATTCAAATTGAAATTAAAGTAAACATTCTTGAAAAGTAGATAAGTTGTACGAGGTTAGCAAGGTTGCATTGTATTTTAATACTAGATTGATTATTGCATTATCAAACGGTCGTATTTGTTGATTCTCCTATCTCCTATTGAAATAAAATGCCTACTAATACTTATATCATAAATAACTATTAATGTATCGAAGTGATCTTTTTATTTAGTAGTAAAAGTAGGGGGAGGAAGCAAACCCCGTCATTACTTACAGTAAAAGTTAAGATATTTTTAATTAAAACATTAAACCCATTTTGACTTTGAAACAAACTTCTCACTGTCATTGACATATACCTCAAAGCACCAGTAATCATATACTCTGTTGCTAATTTCACATTTCAGGAAGTAAGAAAAACTACAATGAAAAGGATAAATAAAGGAAACGATTTGCTGGAACATGGATCATTTATTACTGAAAAATCATTGTAATTTTAATTCACAAGATTATTATAGTAAGCAACACTTGTAAGTTTTTAAGATGATGTATCCATAGATTCAGGCTCTATGGGTGTAATTGAAATGTCTTCAATGTCAACAGGAATTGAACGAGTAGACAGAACAGCTGTTGTTCCTTTATCAAACACATATGAACCTTGCCTGAAAATGAAAGAGGAGAATATATTGAATATTTCTATCACTATTGAAAAACACTTTAAACATTTTGCAACCACTGTATACTTACTTCTGCCCTTTCACATTAGCAACATCGAAAGGTCGGATATAATCCACGTTGTTCTTCCGAATTACACACACATCTACATTACTGCCAGATCCTAGATCATTAAAAATACCGGCAGCAATAGCATCTCGGACCAGTTTTTTTCCTTCCTCCTCCTAAAATTCAAAATCAATTTTAATTGTTACTTATTTTGTGCAATGTAAGTAGACCTATTACAAAAGTGACGTCGTTTACAAAAACGTGTCTAAAAAATTTAGTACCCCTGGAGTGATTGCTCCAAAATTTTGCATGAATTCTTGGGTAGACCAATAATCAAACATAGTGAAGTTGCACTTTAAAATGTTGCTGCATAATGCGTTTTGTAACAAAAAATACAAAACTGCTTTGTAGTACATGCAGCCTATGGTAGATTATCCACTGTTATAATTAGAAATGAAAAGATTAAAATATATTTTCAATAATAATTGTCAATTTGATTACTGTTCCATGTTGGTCACCCAAACACCTAAACACGCAAAGAAAGTGCACTTATCGGTGTTAGTGTGGAACTTATCTAGGCAAAACCCATGTGACACGATATGCACCAGCTTCCTAATACATAATTATGATAAATAAATTTCCCAGCAATGTTGAGTTTCTTAAGCTAGAATCTTGTAAAAAATACATACATCCATATCAGGCTTCCATCTAGTTTCAAACACTGCCATTGCAGCCAATGAACCGGAACCCATTGTGGTGAATGGCAATTTATCAGATGAACCATGGGGATAAATACAGTACAAATGAGGCCCAGTACTATCAACACCTCCCAAAACAAGAGCAGCACCAATGTAACCCTGAGAAGAAAATTAACACAAGAGTTTGGTGAACAATTTGGAAATTGAATTTGGTAGCTCAGATATATTTTGTAATTGATTACCTGATAGCGGAAAAGCATATGCTTCAACAATCTATTAGCAGTAATCACAGGTACCACACGCCCTGTGTTCAATCTATGCAATTGTAACTGAGATGAAATCATTTGGGTAGTCATTTCAGTGTCTGCAGCAGTACCAGCACCACAGCAATATATATTATCAGAAAGATAATGAATTTTAGAGCAATTTTTGTCTGACACAATGGTATCTTCAGTCGCCCTAGTATCAGCACCAAGGATTACACCATCTTTGTATATAATACCCACAATAGTTGTTCCCGTTTTTGTTGCTTTTGGTACAGCATAACCCTTCTGAGCAAGGAAAGCGTTCCTAAAACACAAAATCATAGTTTCTGTTAAAACTGCACTGTCACAATAGGGCTATCGAACATACACTGGGAAACTTTACACATCAGAAATTGATCGACACTGGAAAGGGATATCAAAGGATCAATAAGAATGCAATATAATTTCTTACCTACGGCAATTCTCAAAAGAGAAGCCGGGCTTCGCAATATCGGGAACGACTGCAGTCATGATCGCTGGATCCCACGATGACAACACAAGACTTGCCTTCAAAATATTAAAGCAATGCTTCTAGGAATAAACTGGGCACGTAAACAGGACAGTCTTAGACTATATTTGTTTTCATTGCCGCTCGGAGCAGCACTTTCATTGGACTTGCCAACTACTGAAGTTGGAATATTAAGTTGGTAGAATGTTTTCCGCCATTTGCTTTAAACCTTTTAACATAAAAATCGGCTACTTTCTTCGTTTCACTGTTTTCCGACCTCATTGATTTTATCGATGAAGATATGGCGGCATGGGTAACATATTTCAAAAACAAACATCAATGATATGCTTATCCTTTCCATTTATGGAAGGTATAAATGATTCGCTGAACAGGCAATCGCAAAAACTATCAGTATTCACGCGTTCAGTCCAGTCACGTGTCACAAATGAAAGCTGTAGCTTAATTAAAGCCGTTTACGATGTAATGTACACGTCACCCGAGTCTCGTGATTGTGACGTCAGATCTAAGCTCGAGGTCGGGTCGCCTTGGTGCTACGTCGTGGGGGCTCGAGACGGTGAGTCATTCTCCCACTCTCGGCCTCCGGTCCAGTAATTACTTTGGAGTTTAGAGAGCGTTCTTTTTGAATCGCGACCGGTGTATCCCGCGTCTGACGCTCTATTTCTACAGTGTACCTTCTTATTCCTGTCTGATTTTTTATTTTTATTTTTTTATTTCCTTTTGTGGTCATGATCTCGTAAACTCATAAGAAAGTTCAGTACAAGTACATTTAAAAGGGGAAACAGATAAAAGTTGTTGATTGGAGAAGAGAGGTGGAATAAAACGAAAGAGTTCCTGCCGTAGGAGATTGGCTAAGCTTCAATGGAGAGGGATGGAGTGAGTACAGTCGCCACAGAACGTTGGAATTGAGACCGCGCGATCTGGAGAATCGATCCGTAAACCTTCCACTGCAGCAAATCCAGCACACCAAAACGAAGGCGACAGCTAGTTTAAGAGCTGGCTGAGAAATTTTCAGTATCGTGGTGCTATAGTTTCATTTTGCACTCTTTCATATCGATTATAACTCAATTTTTCCAAACAAATGTAATACATTATTAAGAGATTAGCATTAAATAGAATACGCATTTAGGATATATAAAATAGAGTATATTTCTATTAAAGTGAGAATTTGATTTATTTAGTCAAAAAACAGTAAAACTGTACGTGACGTATGGGGTTGAAGAATAAGAGCTGATCAGCAACAAAACATGTTGCAAGTTTCAAGAATAAATTCATCTTAAAAGTTCTATATTGATAAACATGTTTGAATGTTGTAAGTCACTTTCATTTCTTTGTGTATTTCTTAGTTTGTAACTTCATAACGGCTTGTGAAATAAACATAACCTTTTATCGCGTTTCAGACACAGTGGTGTTGAATTTCAGACTGAATAGAAATAATACGTGACTACTTATGCCATTAATTTTAAGAAGCCGTATGTCCTCAATGGGAACGTTCTAGTAGTTATTTGAGCTAATAATGAGCGTAATGGCGTTGGAGATAGATATGATTGGTCAAAATTGCTTTTGTCACAGATGTCGTGGGCGGAATAATCTCTGCGTGGGTTTGTATCCAACTGCATTCGCATCTGCAATGTGCTTGAGTGGTCTACTGCGCAGTATTCTTAATGCATACTTGTGATCATAATTCGGTACTCAGTTTTTTAGACACTCCAACTGTGTTTTCAGATGTTAAACTCCGATTGTTCATAGACGTATTTTCATATCGTTATACCAAATTACTTGCTGAATGTGGCATCGCCAACACCTTAATTTGTTTTAAAGTTGTATGTCAAAAATGTCTACTCTGTAAGTTCTAAATTAAAATAAACTCTGGAAAAAAGTTGTTTGGCTCTTTCAGCATCGGACGTAGTAAAAAAGAATCCATTAAAATTAAATAAAAAATGAGTTCGAGGTCTCAACTCTTCTTGTTCGATGTTCTTTCGTGCTACGGCCACCATGCACCCAAGAAAACGGTGTATGAGAACCTAATCCGAAATCTCCCAGGAGAGTTGTTCTCAAGAGCACATTCTTCCAGTGTATTATCAGGTGGTGGTGGTGGTGTTTAATAGAAGAGCGATAACCTACTGAAGAAATACGAAATGTATTTGTATAAGGTGGTTGTTGTAATGAAAATGTGAAGTTAAAATAATTCCATTGTAGAAGGAGGAGGTACTAGACATATTATATTTGCGTAAAACAATATAATTACTACTTTATAGTGTAGTGTATACGTACTATGTGTATTTTGAACTTAAATGAAAATATTGTGTTAAACTATCCTGCTTGGGTATATGGCCAAATATTATTCTCTCTGACTATACGGAAATTATAATTAGATTCGGCTATTTATTTTTCAAAATATATAGGCAAGAACGCATTTCCTGAAAATAAAATAGGGATACCAAATTGCATTTATTCTGACTAAAATACAAGTGCGAATTGGACAGGATTTCCTCTTGACCAAACTAAATCTGTCGGCATCAAAGAAAGAGAATTTACAAAGATGAGTAGTTTTGTATCTCATTCTGCCAGCGGTTTTTAATTCTTCCTGAACATAGAACCGAAAATTGTCGTTCTACGTGTATGCAGGCCAGCTTCTCTGATCGACCATTTCTGTTGTTTCTTTCGATAAATTAACGGGTGTCTTAGCAATATCCTGGTCAACGAGTCACGGACAGCGCGCAATCCTTCCGTTCCGTGCTTAGTGTTGGTCAAGCGATTGACGGGTCCCTCGTTCTCGTGTCGTCCAGGCCCCTTCGATTCAAAAATCTCTGACAAACATTGAGATCCGAGAGAAATATAGCAAAGAGCTGCGGGTCCCCCGAAACACTAATGAGTTTCGAGGCGAAATAATTGAAAAAATAGAATATAATACATTTATGCAGTATGGTATTCAAAATTGCCCACTTGTAAATATTAAAATATGTACAAAGCGCACTTCAACAGTAATGTACATGGTTTTTTAAAATTCATTTTCTTTTCTACGACTTTGCTCTTTTAAGATTTCGTAGAATCATCCTTTTCATTTGAATTCAAATTTAGTTTAATTTGTTTCTGCAAGTATTGCTCTATTAGCACGAGTGCCATTAGTTTATTATGAAATGTATTTACAAAGTCTACAACGGCATTTAGTGCTCCTCTGTCGGATGCAACGGGAAGTTTTGAGCTAGAGTACCAAGAAGAGCGAATCACCTTAATACGTAATAAGAAAGACAGCAAAGATTTTCACAATGAATTGCAACAATTTAACATTTTAAATTATGGTTTTTAACGTGTAAATAGCTTCGTCCTGAAACCAAGTTTCAATTGATTGATTGATTATTTGTTTTTTTTCGGGTGTATGCTGCTATTGACATTAGGTCCGTTTGTGTAGTGCATGTTTTTATCACGAGAGGTTGCTGTGATCTTCCACCGCTGGATGGTGAGAGCCGACGAGAACCTACCCGTTGGCTAATGAGGTTCTCTATCCACGTATCTCCCAGCGGAGCACCGCCCCAGCCGGAACATGCTCTAAGCTCCTGTCTGGTCTCGCGAGATGTATGAAGTGTAGTGGATGTAAGAGTAAGTAAAGAGTGAGAATAGGACAAGGAAGGGAAGGAAAGATGGCGCGCTGACCGTAGCCCGTTAGTTAGGGTACGGCTCCGGCATTAACTTGGGGTTGATTGAAGAAACCACGAAAAACTATCGATCAGAGCAGCCGCTAGAATTCTCATCCAGACAGCAGTAGAATTAGTAGACTTAGCTACAAGGTGCGATCAAAAAGTGGCTGATTTTATTAAAAATAATGCATTGCACATATCTCTACAAATGTTTAATACTCTTCGATGTAGGACCCTTGTGCTTCGACACACCTAGTATAACGCATCTGCTAAACTGCGAAAGCCTTCTGAAAGTCACTGACCGGAATGCTGCTGATGTTTCTCGTTACATCCGCTTGGTCGCATCGATGTAGTCGACACATTGTCCCATAATGGGCCGTTTCGGGAGAGGAAGAGTGAGAATTCAGACGGAGGCACGTCTGGACTGGGGGGGGGGGAGGTAACGCGAAAAGGCCTTACTGAGCCAACCGCTCCCACGCCAACAGCGCAAAGTGGCAGGGCAGGGTTAGGCACAGCGCAGCTTCCAGCAACGGGCGTCGTCTGGTCGCACGCTGTTGACTGTTTTCGCGAGCTATTGAGCTCTTCTGCGTAAAATTGTGCATTCACAGTTTACCCAGGGGGTACAAATTCCTTGTGGATGGCATCAAGATGATCAAAAAACACCAGAAGCAGAGTCCAGAAGTAGTTTAACTTTTGTCAGTTTCGTCGAGCCTTGATGTTGGCGTGCTACCGGCGGGTTGGTGATCGTCGACCAGCTTCCTTCCCCTCCCTGAACAACTTGTGTCTCTTGAAAACCGTCGAGTGGTTCATGAGTGCTTTCCCGTAGGTCTGCTTGATGATATCGAAGCTTTCCGTGGAGGGTTTTCCAAATTTGAAGCAAACCTTGCTGTAACTCAGCTCGACACTCCGTTCCATGCTGAGCGTGACGACACTTCACTTTCTGAACAGTGGTTCATGGGACAGTGTGCTCACTGTCCAATGACACGCAGGCTACTGCAGGAAGGCGCGTTCTGTTTGTGAAGGATCTTGCCACCACCGAACCAGACTCCCCTCCGTAGGTTTGCCTGACCTACATAAAATCAGTCCTACTAGTTTTTGATCCTACCTTGTATGGAACTAGTGTCGAAAGTTCGCACTGCCACCGTGGAAACTCGAACCCTAGGAATTCCCGGCCAGAGGCACTGCAGTAACAGAAGTTAATGCCCTGATACACCTGAGCTGGGACCAACTTTCAACTATTCCTTGTTGCAGTGTGGCGGAACCATAAAAATATAATAGAACATCCAGAAATGTTTGATTTTGTAGATTACTTGTGTTCTAGTCGGAACATAAAAACTGCTTTTAAAGCTCAAGAATGCATTGTTTCTGAGATATTCACGTAATGTGTGTTCCGGCAAAGTGTGTTTTGAGGATTGCATGTGAGTCTTAAAATCCAAATTTCAAATGTCCCATAAACTGCGAACTTCGTAATGCGAGAAAGTCTGTATTTTTGTCTTAAATCTCACTGATGCACCCGTGGGTGAGAGATAAATCCCTATCCAGCAGTAATATATGTGTTGTGTTTTGTGTCCAAGTTATCTTATAGATGGGAATAATCCGTCGTCTTTCCTTGGAGTAAAGGCGGGTAACGTAACTTTTGCATTTCCTATAACTTTTGAACAGTTGAAGTTATTGTAATGCAGTTTTTACGGAAGTGCGTGAAAGAATTGGGCTAATTGATACGTATATACCTTTCTATTTTATCGCTTGCATTTTACGAGATATTTGAGGTAACGTGTTTTTTTCAAATGGACCTATACATATTTTTTCAGTGTATCATGACGAGTGTAAAAAGACAAATCCAATTATACATATATTGTTGTATGTTAGATAAGCATTTTATGAGTAATTTTGGTTTCTTGCGTCTAGTGTTGAACGGCTATTTTGAATGTAACAGTTCGCCACACAATGTCTTGCAGCGCTCCCCCTTCTAGCGCTCGCAAGGGGGAAGGGAAGGGGTCTTAGTATTTGAAGATACGAAACATATTCCAAATATTCCCAAAACTGTTGTAAGTATAACCTGTACAAAGCATGGGAATGGTAGGGAACTGACGTAACATGTAGGAAAGATGGGTATTATTGTTTTCTATCTATTTATTGAGCTTACAAATCTGTCTTCCTCTTCTTAAGGTGAAATTCACCCTCCTATGTTAAATTCTTAATATTGAATTCGGAAAACTGCAAAAGTTCAGATTTTTTCGGCGTCCTTCTAGAACTACAATATTGATGACAGAGTTTCTTTTTATAAAATATGTTGGATAAAAACAGATCTTGAAATAGGCCATGTAAAATTTTTTGAAAAGATAAGTAGTTTCCGCCAAACTTAGGGTGACTTTAAAAACATTTAAACAATTATTTTCTGAAAAGAGGCTCCAAATTATTTCTTTAAATTTTCTCCTCGTATGTATCAAAGTGCGGTATAAAAATTTGTGCTTGTTCCATTTTTGGCGAGGTTTTGGTTTTGGTATTTTGCAAAATTGCAAAAACTTAACATTGCGAAAGGAGAACATTAAAGATAAAGGGTTTTGTCTAAAATTAAATTTGTTTTACAAATAGATCTAACTTGTATGTGTTTTTAATAAGAGCAGTTTTGCGTTGTATCAGCTTGACGTTAATGTGCATTATAAAAAAAATACTTTTTTTAAAAACGTTTAATTTTATTTTTTAATGGGACGCCTAAAAGAATGGCGAAAGGTCTAGTTGCGAACTTTGAATTTCCGAAAAGGGCAAATTTAGAAATAATGCGAGAAAGTATGTGCTGTTGTAGAACTATTGGTTTAATACAAAAATACGAAATAGTAGTGTTCTAGAGTGACAGAGACTTTCTCATACTAGTTAGTTTTTCGTATATCTTTAAGATGTGCTATATTTAGGTTTCTTCTCTGCTGCCATTTAATTGATGCCTAAAAGACATTATTTCAAGTCTTCTCCTTTTTTCGTATTCTTAATGATAGAAATGAAATACGACTTTAATCGTGTTATTAAAAGGAAAAACGTGGATCTATAAGCACATATATTGAAAATTTGGAGCAATTTGGAGAAAATGTCATTGGAGCGTTTCTGAAAATGCACATTATGTAGCTATTTTCCACCCCAATTTTTTGAGAAATTTAATTAAATATTATTTAAACAATTGTGCTCACAAATGTAATAATGAATACAAACAGCTGGTAATGTAAATATTAACGACGAGAGAAATATTTTTGAAAACAATTACTTTCGTTTATATATATATTTATTAGAAAATTATTTATTTTAACTGTATTCAGCGGGTTCAACACAAGCGACAACTCATAGCCTCGTGCTGATCAGTTTCAGCTACGACAAATTATATTCTCAATTAAGAACGGCCACATTTCATGTCTGTCGTCACTTAGCACAAATCCGATTTTCATTCGTTTCGTCATTGCTACATTTTGTCAATGAATCATAGCCCCTCCCCTAGCACAATTTGATGACAAACCTCTCCAACCCATTTTCTGCAAACGACAAACGTGTCGTCAACAGAATGTAATCAACATCAGTTAACAGATGTGCGATTAAATAGGGAATGGTAAAATAAGAAGGAGATATCTATATTTCATCGGCCTCGTAGCGAATGGATATAATTAGGCAATAAATATGTGTTTTTCTTATTTTATTATAACATTTATGTCATAATTGACTATTTGTATCCAAATATCACTGTCACAAATATCACTCATTAAAAGTTTGGAAAGTAGCAGCATAATGAGTGCACTGACCTCTGCTGTCCGGTCAGAAAGAGAAATTAATAATTGCTGTAAATGATTCTCAGGTTAACATATTCATATCCTTCGCCAATTAACCACAATCAAACCACTAACAAATGTCTCGCATTCGACCCTTCGTAAAAAAATATTCTCTGCCAAAAATCTTTCTGTTGTGTCTAAATAAAATACAAACAGGAAAAGACAGGAAAGAAAAAGCTTTTGAAAGGCGAAAGAAAGTGACAAAAATAACATACCACACAGTTTGAATTTCGATGACAGTCAACATAATTCTGCTTAAAAGGCAATGAATGAATTTCATCTGATGAAATCTAAGCGGCGTTGTGTAATCGGACTAGATGACCATACTGATGATCCCCACCCTGCTCACTACCAGAAACTTCAATTACTGTATGAAATTATTTGTAAGGAAGGCGAAAGATAACGCACTAATGTTGGTCACTAACTCGAATCCATTTTTTATGTTTCTTAATAAATTATATATGACTAATTTGTTATTTATGTATGTAAAAATGATACAATGAAATAAATTAGCTCTAAATAAACAAGAACGATTCAACAGGAATTCTACAAGAAATAAACAAGGAAGTGCATATGTCTGCATTTAATCAACCCAACTGTTGACCAAACTTCAGATCTCGAAGTACAGGAGGATAGAGAAAGATGGGTTAAACGAGGTCACCTACGACTATGCCCATGTACGACGACATTCAATTTCCGAAAGCAAAATCGTATCTGTGACCACTGCTGCATCTATCCACCACGTGACATCTGCATTGGGGCACGACCGGCCGGCCGGCCGGCGGCGGGGGCTCGGCGCAGGTGCTAGGGACCGGGGTCACGGGGGCGCGGGCGCTGAGTCACCAGTTGTTGGCGACCCCGACGGTGGTGGCGGGGCGCGCATGGAGGGGGAGGGGGAGGGGTGCGCGCGCATGCGCAGAAGCCGGGCCGCGCCCGCCGACGTGGAGACGTATAGTTCCGAACGCCACCGCCGCCGACCGCAGTTCTCGTCCTCATTCCGCCGCAGTCGCAGTGAGCAGCGTTACTCTCGTTGACCACCGCAGCGCCACCGCAGCCGCCATGTCGATCGGTGAGTACCGGATACCGGCGCCGGTTTTAGGATAGTTGTTTTTTAAATTTCTTGTAATACAACTTACAATACTAGTAAATGTGTTGGGAGAGTTTTCACAGCGTAAATACGTTTTTCTACATTGGTAATGTAAGGTGTCAGTTTTTTATTGGAAAAAGATCAGTCTAGAAAACTGTTTTCGTATTGACCGATTCTGTAACTATTTGTATCTGGGTGCTCATTCTTACAGGTGTTAGTTTATAAATACTTAGACATGTATTAATGATTTTAGTGTGGACAGAGAAGTTGTCTGGAGGCGATTCAAACACTTATGACGTGGAGACCTGCTTTCGAAATGTTCCTTAATACTCCAATAAAGTATGTCAACTTAAATGGTTGTGCGATAAAGAGATATTCTTAGTGTGACCTGATGGTTAAATTGAACATAAATACATTTTCACTAGATTTTTTGGGCGAATCTGCTTAGTAAAGATAAAACGCGTTGTGAATGCATTGCTGTTCCACTTGCCGCATCCCTAATCGCCTCGTTGTCTCCAAAACAATGCAAACGACGTTCCGGTTGAAGGATCGCTTCCGGACTTCCGTGAATGCTCGGCCCGATTCAAAACACCGGGCCCCGCCCTGCTCGGGGGCCCCTCCGAGTAGGCAACCCGTCACTCTGCCGGTTCCGAATCCGGGTCGGCGGAGGCGAAGGGACGGACGACGACGATGGCGCGGAGTGGGGTTGGGGGAGGGGGAAGGGGAGTGGGGCGCAGTGGTGCAGATCGGGGGCCGCGGAGGGGAGCTGTACTGCAAGGCGCATCTGCCAGATCCTCGCTTCTTTGCTGAGGCATTCTAGGAAATGCTCGCCTGAATGCATTCCTTCCTGTACGAATCCCGTCCTGTTAATTTCCTTGATGGTGGCGATAATCAGAAACCTTGACGGTTACGTTCTCAGAACTTTTAGCTTCTTTCTTTGTACGCGTGACAAAGAAAAAACAAATGCTTATATTACGTATACGATAAATTGATAATAGATCGCAGCCAATTTTGTATTTTAAGTTTTGTAGTGTTTCAGCATACGGTTGCATGCATTGTTGTATATAGTTTCAAATTTGATGCCAAGGCTGAAGTTCGTAAGCACTAAATAGTGGTAACATCAATGCGTTGCTGTATCTGTAGAGTTGAATGAGGGATTTGAATGGATTCTTAGGAAAAACAATTAGATTTTAAGGGGCATGACTAGGTGAAGTCATGAGCTTGAGCCACAGTAAAGTTTGACGGCTTCTTGTGGAGGGAAATTGAAATTTGTAGCGAATTTTTTTAATGGAACTTCCCTAACTTGTATTAATTATGTATTCTTTGTTAAAAACTAAAGAAAAAGCTGCTAGCAAATTGTATT